AATGTTCTTCAACTTCCTCTGGTTTTTCCCACCTCCATAGTTGGCTCACATCACTTCCTCCTCTGGAATGTCCATGTCTGCCGTCACAGCTCTGACATCTCACCCATGGTTCGGGATTCCGTTGACCTGCCACCTCCATGAAGCTTGTGCAGTGTCCAGCTGTTCCTGACAAGTTGTGGTTACTGAACACGTGTTCATTCTCTCCTTCCTTCTTCATCTCTTTTTTCCAGTGTATCCTCCCAGTCCAAAGTACATTTTTCCTTTTCAAGCATCTCGTATTTCTGTAGTGGCAGAACAACTATTCTCCCAAGTTTAATTTTGTATGTGTTTTCCTTCTTCTAGCCTAGAACATGCTTGCTGGAAGGAACCATGCTTTGTTCATGGTCTCTCACCGGGCCTGACGCTGAAGTCTTTGCTCTTCTCCTTGCAACAAACTTTCCTCCTTTGACAGCAGATCCATGCTGGTTTGTTTGGTCAGCTTGTATTTGGGCTAGTTCTGTGGGGCACGGCTCTTCTTCTATTAGATGGTAAGCTCCTTGAGAGCATGTTTCACGTCTGAGTCCTCTTTTTATCCTCAAAAGTACAAGGACAGTACCATGCACATAGTTAGTGCTCATTAAATCCTTACAGAGTAAGAGAAATAGCCTGTTCAGCCAGTGTGCAGGACTGTAGCATATTCCACAGTTCCATAGAAAATGACATTTACTGTCCACTTTTAAGTTTTTTTTAATTTTTTTTTTTTTTTTTTTTTTTTTTTTTTAGTAATCTCTACTCTCAACATGGGGCTCGAACTCATGACCCCAAGATCAAGATTCACATGTTCCTCTGACTGAGCCAGCCAGGTGCCCCTACTGTCCACTTTTTAGAAGAGGAATATATCCCATTAGGTTAGAAACAGAGAGAGAATGAAGGGGGGTTGTGATGTAACTTAGGTCACATTCTAAACCTGGATGGGAGGAGGCTGGTGATGTTGATAAGGTTTGGAGAAATTAGCCATGATTTGAAACATTTAATTGTTTCAGGAAAAAAAGTGATAATCCTGTTACCCTTGGTTTAAACTCTGTTTCTGAGCTGCATGTCAGTCGTGTTTGTAATATTTCTCTAGTCACTGAGGCTTTTCCTTTTCCCATTTTAGTGTGTCACAAAATGTAGGGCGCCTTAAAAGATCAAGAAGTGGGATCACCATGGGATAAACAGAAAATTGGCTTCAATTATAATTTTTTTAAAAGATTTTATTTGAGGGTGAGAGAGAGAGAGAGAGAGAGCATGAATGAGGGGAGGGGCAGAAGGAGAGGGAGAAGCAGACTCTGCGATCAGCAGGGAGCCCGACTTGGGACACAGGTCTTGATCCCAGGACCTTGAGATCATGAGCTGAGCAGAAGGCAGATGTTCAACCGACTGAGCCACCCAGGCACCCCCACTTATAATTTTTTATTTCATTTTTTAAACTTACAAAATTTTTTAGTCAATTTACTTAAATTAAAAAAATTACCCATTTCTTCACCGCCCCACCCCTAGCCTCTTGCAACCACCAAGCTGTTCTCTATATTTATGAGATTAGGTTTATTTATTTATTTATTTTCTGATTCCACATATAAGAGAGACATATGGTATTTGTCTTTGTTTGACTTATTTCACTTAGCATAATGCCCTTGAGCCCCAACCATGTTGTCACAAATGGCAAGAATTCATTCTTTTTTATGGCTCAATAATATTCCATTATGTATATATATATCACAGTTTATCCATTCATGAGTCAATGGACACTGTGGTTGTTTCCATATCTTGGCCCATTGTAAGTAATGCTGCAGTGGACATGTGGGTGCATTTGTCTTTTTGAATTAATGTTTTTCTTTTCTTCAGATAAGTATCCAGAAGTAGAATTGCTGGATTATATGGTAGTTCTATTTTTAATATTTTGAGGGAATTCCGTACTGTTTTCCACAGTAGTTGTTTTTCAATTTACATTCCTGCCAACAGTGCACAAGGGTTTTCTTTTCTCCACATTCTTGCTAATACTAGTTATTTCTTGTCTTTTTGATAATAACCATTTTAATAGGTGTGAGATGATAGCTCATTGTGGGTTTGATTTGCATGTCCCTGATGTGTAATGATGTTACACATCTTTTCATGTGCTGGTTGGTCATCTGTATGTCTTCTTTGGAAAGATGTTTATTCATCTTCTGCCCGTTTTTAATTGGATTTTTTTTCTTTTGAGTTGTATGAATTCTTTATATATTTTGGATATTAATCTCTTATCAGTTATTTGGTTTGCAAATATTTTCTTCCAGTCAGTATGTTTGCCTTTTTATTTTGTTGGTGGTTCTCTTTGTTGTGCAGAAGCTTTTGGTTTGATGCGGTTCCATTTGTTTACTTTTCCTTTTTTTGCTTTTACTTTTGGTGTCAGATTCAAAAAATCATCACCAAAACCTATGTCAAGGAGCTTATCGCTTATCTTCTAAGAGTTTTATAGTTTTAGGTCTTACATTCAAGTCTTTAATCCATTCAAAATTGATTTTTGTGTATGGTATAAGATACTGGTCCAGTTTCATTCCTTTCTATGTGGTTTTCCATTTCCCCAACACCATTTATTGAAGAGACTGTCCTTTTTGCATTGTATATTCCTGCTCCTTTGTCATAAATTAATTAACCATATGTGTGTGGGTTGATTTCTGGACTTTTTATTCTGTTTCACTGATACTTGTATCTGTTTTTATGCCAGTATCATGAAGTTTTAATTACTACAGCTGTGTAATATAGTTTGAAATCAGGGAGTGTGATGTCTCCAGCTTTGTTCTTCTTTCTCAAGATTGTTTTGGCTCTTTGGGGTCTTTTGTGGTTCCATATACACTTAATCTTAGGATTGTTTGTTCTATTTCTTTGAAAAACACTGTTGGAAATTTGATAGGGATTGAATTGAATCTGTAGATTGCTTTAAGTAGTATAGATGTTTTAATAATATGAATTCTTCCAATCCATGACCACAGAATATCTTTCCTTTTACTTGTGTCTTCTTCAATTCCTTGCATTAATGTCTTGTAGTTTTCAGTATACAGGTCTTTCACCTCCTTGGTTAAATTTCTTACTAGGTATTTTATTCTTTTTAGATGCAATTATAAATGGGATTGTTTTCTTAATTCCTCGTTCTCATAGTTTGTTGTTAGTGTAAAGAAACACAACAGATTTTTGTGTATTGATTTTGTATGCTACAACTTTACTGAATGTGTTTATCAATTCTAACAGTAAAGATGGAGTCTTTAGGGTGGGTGCTTACATATAATAGCATGTCATCTGCAAATATTAACAGTTATACTTCTTTTTTTCCAATTTGGATATCTTTTATATCTTTTTCTTGCCTAATTGCTCTAGATAGGACTTCCAATACTAAGTTGAATGAAAGTGGCAAGAGTGGACATTCTTGTGTCCCTGATCTTAGAAGAAAAGCTTACAGCTTTTCACCAAAGAATATGATGTTAGCTTGGACTTGTCATATATGGCCTTTATTGTGTGGAGGTGCATTCCTTCTATACCCACTTAGTTGAGATTTATTATCGTAAATGGATGTTAAATTTTGTCAAATGCTTTTTCTACATCTATTGAGATGATCATATGATTTTAGTCTTCATTTTGTTAATGTGGTATATCATACTGACTGATCTGTGGATGTTAAACCATCCTTGCATTCCTGAAATAAGTCCCACTTGTTCATGGGATATGATCCTTTTAATATATTGTTGAATTTAGTTTGCTAATATTTTGCTGAAGACTATGCATGTGTTCATCAGGGATATTGGCCTGTAAGTTTCCTTTTTGTGGTATACTTGTCTGGTTTTGGTATCAGGATAATGCTGGCCTCAAAAACCGAGTTTGTAAGAGTTCTCTCCTCTTCTATTTTGGAAGAGTTTGAGAAGGATTGGTATTAATTCTTCCTTAAATGTTTTGTAGAATTCACCAGTAAAGCTGTCTGATCCTGGACGTTTTTTTTTGTTAGGAGGTTTTTGATTACTGATTTCAATCTCCTTGCTAGTAATTGGTCTGTTCAGATTTTCTATTTCATCATGGTTCAGTCGTGGTACTTATGTTTCTAGGAATTTATCATTTTGTCTAGGTTGTCCAAATTGTTGCCATATAATTATTTATAGTAGTCTCTTATAATCTTTTGTATTTCTGAGGTATCAATTGTAATATCTTCTCTTTTATTTCTGATGTTATTTATTTGGGTCATTTCTTTTTTCCATGGTAAGTCTAGGCAAACTCTTATCAATTTTGTTTATCTTTTCAAAGAGCTGGCTCTTAATTTCATAAATCAATTTACTGTGTTTTTAGTCTCTATTTCATTTATTTCTGTTCTAATCTTTGTTATTTCCTTCCTTCTAACTTTGGGTTTTTTTCTTTTACTAGTTCCTTGAGGTATGAAGTTAGGTTGTTTATTTGAGACTTTTTTTTTTTTTGTTTCTGAGGTAGGCATTTATTGCTACAAACTTTCCTCTTAGAACTACTTTTGCTGCATCCCATAAATATTGGCATATTATGTTTCCATTTTTGTTTGTCCCAAGGTATTTTTTGATTTCTTTTTTGAGAAATATATTTATATATTGATACATGTTTTTTAGAAAAAGCAACTCCATGAGGCAGGTAAGGCCTATGGCTCGGTGGGGTTTAATGATTCATCATGACACCTAGTGAGTAAGTTGTAGGCTCTGAGGCAAAATAAGGCCTTAGGACTGCAAGACCAGTGTTCTCCCCACTCCATGGTGACCTCTTCTGTGAAATACCCTAAGAATGGGAAACATACACATGCAGCTCATTAGAGATGGAGAAAAGCGTTTATTTAAAAAACCAAAAGGAGCCCTGGAATAGTCACTCACTCTATAGCAGCATTTCGCTTCATTTTCTCCAGGATCAGAACTACTAGAATTGTTTTATTGTTGATAAGATTGTTTCCATGATTTCCTTTATTTTGAAAAAAATGATCTTTCATCTAACTAAATTTTTGGCAGCTTGTGACCAAGATAAAGTTACCATATAACTAATCTTTTTGGAATGGGAAGTCAAGGACCAGATAAAATTAAATGCCTTTGACACTATCACCCAAGAGACCAGTGCTTCATTACTGATGAGATGGTAAGTCTCTGAGTTTAGTCCTGTGTACATTCTTAACCCATTGCTAATGCCCATCTACCGAGCATGCTTCTTGTCTGGCCTCAGTGCCCTAGTTGCAAAGCAGTCCGTGGCTAACTGCTTTGTCTTTTACTTTCCCTGAAGGTCATGCAGGCAATAGTGGTGCATTCCTGTTACTGGGAAGACAAAGATGTAGCTGTATTTTCAAATGCCCACAGTCATGCCATCATTTTTCACAAAAGCAAATGAAGATTTGAATTCCGAGGCTTGTGGGGTTGCACTTGGGTTTCATTATGGCTGGTGTGCTGATGCATCCATGCAATCTGTCTTTCTTTTACAGATGTGCAGTTCATCACAGAGCAATGTCACTAATGAGCCTTCTAAACAACCAGAACCACACTTTTTAATAAGGATTGGAAAATGAGAACTACGATGTCTTGCCTGTTAGAGAAAAAAAGGAGTGTGAGAGATATACAAAGTCCTGCCTCATGTAAATTGGTATTTGCCTTTTCAAATGACATGTTTGTTAGTCAAGTATACAAAGATGTCTTAGGCAGGTACTGGGGAGAGCCTTAGGGTCTGCTGGTGTGCAGCAAGTAATCAAAAAAAATCTGAACTTGGGGTGGGGCGAAGTGATGGTGGGAGGAAATAAAAGCTGTTGCACGTTGTTTTGTCTTTCTAAAGATTCTTTTATTCCCATGATGATAAACCATAACACTGACTGTGAGAACACTACCAACATTTCACTCATTCTATAGAATCTGCCTAACTATATACTGGAATGAACTGCAGGTGACTTAACCTGATAATGAATTATCAGTAGAAAGGGGCTTTAAAAATACAGAGATATGAGGACGCCCAAGAGTTAGGGGTCATTTGTCCAGATGAAAAATAGTAGACAAGCGGGGACCACATTGTCAGGACCCAATTTAATCCTCATTCTGAAGACCAACTTGATCTTAGCTTAAGAAATGCTTTGGGCAAATTCTGTTGGAGAAATGTGATTTGGAGGCCAAGCATCTCATACAGTGGATATGGGTTGTTCAATCTGACAAATGGAGAAGAGTATTAAAAGAAACAAACACAGAGTCAAATTCCTTTAGAGATCAGGAAGTAGCATTATGTCCATTTACTAATAATCAAAAAATGGTCTTTGTAGCACAGAAAGTCCCTGAAAACTTCAGGGTAACTCTAACCAGTCTCAATTACTGATTTGTATTATACTTTAAGATTAGTTCCTGGGTTAGGAGTAAGAAAGCTGCAATTTTTTTTTCTCTTCTACACTGGGAAACATGAAAGACAAACAAACAAACAAACAAACAAACAAAAAAACCACATGCAGTATTTTTAGTATGCTAAATATGAAATACTTTGTACAATGAAATATTAAAGGGTAACCATTTCTTGTTTCTTTTCATCTGAACATGATTTAAAAAGGGGATAATGTGATTATATTTTTGAAGAGGAGGAAGCAGAATTTCTGGAAAATCTTATGCTCAGCTTGGTTGCTTTATTGATAAGAAAGGAGGACGTGTGAATGTATATTTTATGAGTACTGCAATTATTAAGCACAGACGGTACATAATGCATTAGGCTTTATGTGAATTGCATTGGATTTATCTTTCTTTTAGAGCATATTTTAAAAATGTTTTACTGCATCTATTATAACCCCTTTATAGCTAGGGTGTTACTCCATGGTAATAGTGGTTTAGCATTTTAGAGCAACTTGTAAGATGTGATTCAAGGGAAAGAAAGGTCATTCAGGCATGCATAATCAACAATCAACATCTCTCGTCTCCCCATTTTCCCTTTTCCTTGAGCAATGCTTCTTTTTCTTTTGTAATCTTCTAGTCAGTCAAGTTTACTGACAAATCTGTGAAGAAAGTGGAATAATTATAAATTAATAGTAGGAGAAATAAACAGATCTAAAAATAGTTTGTAGAGGTAGAGCCAAATGTCTCAGTCCGACAGAAGTAGCATCAAGCTTGAGAGTGTGTCGTATTCTCTGACAAAGTGAAGCCTACTCCTGATTGCTCTTTGTTGAGAACAAACCACCTCTTGCAGGCAACTGGAGTTGGCTTCCACAGCCAGACTCAGAAAGGGGACCATCGTGGAAATTATGCACCAGCCACCTGTTTTCCCTTAATCACTGCCTGCATATTAGCTAATATATTAGCTCTAAATTTATCTTAAGTTCATTCATAAGGATAAAACCTTTGGAGATTTTTCAGAGTTTTTTAAACTTCTAATTAAAAATTTCCATATATTCTCAAATCTGGCATAGCATTTGTCAGTTTTAGCATTAACCTGACCACATGGCTTTATCATCTGCAGCGTGAAGAAGCCATATCCTTTAATGCTGAAATAATCTAAATGGAATAATATGATTCATCCTCCCAATAAAAATTTTCAGCTGTTTGGAGGTTTAACATGGTATAGAGATGAGTATCAGAGCCTCCATTTGGATTAAGTTTGCATAACTAGAATGTGCAAAGCTTCCCTAATTTTTTTTCCTGGCTTTGCTATTTATGAGCAATATATTGCATATGAAGAAAATTTAAAACTGTTTTAAACAATCCAAATTACACTGTAGATTTGAGTTGGGACTCTCAGCATCATCTGTTTGCCAAATCAAGCAATATTAAGGTCATCTTAGAATTATACTTTTCTGATCAATCTAATCCCAAAGTTTCAAACACATAAAGTGTTATCCCAGTGGTGTCTGTTATACACAATTTGATATAAAGAAAGAGATGTCTAGAGTCAGATGTCTGACTGCAAGATTCCAAGTTATCTCATTCACCTGCTCTTCTTTCCTACTGTTCTTTCGTGTAAATTTTGACGAAGGTTGTATTCTGTTTTGTGCACAGGGAGATTTGATTGGCAGGGGAGGACATGCCACCATTGAGAAAGGAAAGATATCAGCTATTTCCATTACCATTTCTATAACAATCATCTTCTAGTAATAATGCCCACTGTGATAGGACATCAGATTGTGCATAGGCCTGCCTGTTGTCAGCACATTTCCAATGTTTAAATTCCATGGTGGCCAACACTGCCTGTTTTGCTTACTGCTATAAAGCCACTTGGCTGGCATAGTGACTGGCACGTATTAGGTACTTAAGACATATTTATGGAAATGAATGAATGAATGATACAGCTGTTCTTTGCCATATTTGGGTATTTACTCAGGGTGATTGCATAGAGTGGACATCTCTGTTTCAGTTACTGTGACTGTGTAACAAACCCAAAGCTTGGTGATTTAAAACAACAACATTCAGGGGCGCCTGGGTGGTTCAGTCAGTTAAGCATCTGACTTCTGATTTTGGCACAGGTCATGATCTTGGCTCAGGTCATGATCTCGGGGTCATGGGATCGAATCCCACATTGGGCTCTGCGTGGAGTTTGCTTAGAATTCTCTCTCCCTTTCCCTCTGCCCTTCTGCCCTTCCCTGCTCAGGTGTGCTCTCTAGCAAACAAACAAATAAATAAAATCTTAAAAAAAATAAAACAACAACATTTATTTTGCTTACATAACAAGAATCAGCAGTCTGGGTTCGGCTTGTGGAGAGCACCTCATTTTTTTTTTTTAGGGTGGAGCATATCTTTTTTTATTGTTATGTTAATCACCATATATTACATAATTTGTTTGGTGTAGTGTTCCATGATTCATTGTTTGTTCACAACACCCAGTGCTCCATGCAGAATGTGACCTCTTTAAGACCCATCACCAGGCTAACCCATCCCCCCACCCCTCTCCCCTCTAGAACCCTCAGTTTGTTTCTCAGAATCCATAGTCTCTTATGGTTCGTCTCCCCCTCCGATTTCCCCTCCTTCACTTCTCCCTTCCTACTATCTTCTTTTTTTATTAACATATAATGTATTATTTGTTTCAGAGGTACAGGTCTGTGATTCAACAGTCTTGCACAATTCACAGCGCTCACCATAGCACATACCCTCCCCAATGTCTATCACCCAGCCACCCCATCGCTCCCACCCCCCCCACCACTCCAGCAACCCTCAGTTTGTTTCCCGAGATTAAGAATTCCTCATATCAGTGAGGTCATAGGGAACATGAGAATTTAATGGCAAACTTCAGAACCATATTCTGCTATATTATCAGCCAAATTCCAGCCCAATCCTTGAAAACGCCACTGCCCTGTGATAGTATGCGTTATCATCATACCCGTGAACTTTACAAATTGTGCTCTACAGACCATTGTATCTCTGGTCAGGAAAAAAAAAGGATTCTTCACCACAATTATAGAGTCGAGAATAGCATCTGTCAGATCATATTGTAAATAAAGGTTTATTGAATTCGTGTACTACTCACATAAGTTAATGCAGTAGCTTATAACAGAGTCCACTGACACTGACTGCAGTAAAATCAGAAAAGGATTTTTAAAGCCCGCTTATCTATATTCTGTTAGTTTTTACAATTTCAGAAAATATTTTAAAAATGATTTTTTAATTTCTACATTTGAAGTACATAGCATAAAAAGTTCTCCAATTTGAATTTCAAGAAATCATAATGGGAAGGCAAGAGTCCTCGAATGATGGCAGAGAGTTAGGTTTAATTTTCTATCAAACCACAAATTCTGCAGCCCAGGCACATCATTTAACCCCTCATGGACTTGCTTTTCAGGCCGAATAACTGAATGAATGGCTAGATGAAGAAATGAAAGAATTGTTAATGAATAGGCCAGAGAGAAAGCTCCTAAGTTCCAATCCATAAGAGATTCTCAAACATGGCTGGGGTGCTAGAACCTTGGTGAAATAATCAATACTTCTCAGGAGAAATGTGGATAAAAGGAATACAGCACTTTGACAAGCCCCTTTGGTGGGGCATGAAACCCAACAAGGGCTGGAAACAATTGTCTTCTAAGGTGGTAGGGCTTTGGTTTTGTGGAGTGAAGACTGTGAACCAGGTTTAAAGCTCTCAATCTGGGGGCCTTAAGAGAAGAAAAGTTAGGCTCTGTCTTAAGGGGATGTCATTCTCTACTTTCTCCAATGCTGTTCAGCCTTCCCTCACTCCCTTCCTTTCCTTTCTCTATCAGCTAACATTTATCGGCCACTTACTTTGTGCCAGGTGGTGTTTTTAAGAGCTTTCTATATAGTGACCCATTTATAAATAAATGTTGGACACTTGCTTAATGAATATTTATTAGCCTGCGTGGGCACTATGCTGGAGCAATTACATGTTACCTTGTTTACTCAGAGACTCTCACTTTTGTCCTCTTCTGGGTCTTGGTTTAACTGAGATCCTGTGCTAATGAACAGGAACTTCTCTTAGAACTCAGTTTGTTCACTTCTTTAGGTTTTCTTTGATCAGTCATCTCTTAAGGTCCTTGACCGGTTGAACTCCCAGAAACCAAAACACCAAAACACCAAAAAAAAAAAAAAAAAAAGAGGAGGAACAAGATATCATCTCATGACCACTATAGGGAAGAGGTTAGTTTCTTTGCAAACTAAGATACTATGTTGGGTGAGGTGAAGTACCACGGCATTACGGCCAGAACCATAACAAAAGATAAAACTAGCAAAATGTCAAGATCGAAGACAAAAC